TAGAACTTAATGCATTTAGGTGCAATAATGCAAACAGAGTATATTCAGAATGTATTTTCAAACTAGTAGGAACCTTTTATCATTACATGCTGAATATGCTGTGCAGCATTTGGAGTTGTGGCAGGGTGTTTGTACAGAGAACTGTTGATGATTCTGAGAGTTGTCTTGGTGACAGCCCATTAGAGAGAGAATTGTAGATAAACTGCTGGTACAGCAGACCCAAGGGTCAGCCCTACAGTTCTTGCTTTTTACTTGTAAAGTGCAACCATTATGGGTAAGGTATGTAGGATTGGGTCCTTCAGCAGTGGGAAAAGCTGTCTTTTCTGATTAATAAAGAAAATATAAAATCATTCTGGAGTGATCTGAAAACAGTTTTGACAGGCTGTGGTTGGCAAAGATGAGTGACTTAAGATCAAGACAGACTGACATTTGAAAAATGTGATTTCTGTGCCTAGAGTATATCTAATAATAGTAGTAGCAAAAAAATGGATACCACATTTATGTCTTGCATTTCCGAGTAATACCTCTATCACTTTAGAAAGCTAGTGAGATAATTAGTATGACAATTTTCCTCATGCTGAGTAGAAAAACAGGGGATTTATATATAAATAATGACTTTCAAGAGACTGAAAGAGAGAGTGGAATTGAGCTACACAGCTAGATTAGGAAAACATCTGAAAAAGAAGCAAAAGCTACTTTCTGTAAAGTGTCTAGGAGAATTACTAGAAAATCATGAAAAATGAAATCCTAAAAAAGCAAGTTTCTAAGTGCTGTGCTATATGGTTATTTACTGCACTCATTCCCAGTTGGTGAGAGAGTGACCCTTTCACTATGCCAATGAAAACTTGTTCCACGGGAAAAAGAAATGGTAAGTTTCTAGTAGGAGATGAAAGCATTTTTTCCTTACTATGAAACTCAGATCCAAGATCATCTGAAATGGAAATGGCAGTACTATAGTAGGTTCTCTCTGATTGTGATATTCTTGAACAATAACATATCTAGTGAAAGAAAGGTAATGTTCGTTTATTCACGATGGGAAGCTTGCAAGGTCTACTTCAAAAAGAAAGTAAAAATAGAAAAAATGCATAAATTGAGGTAATGTGAACTGAAAAAGAAGATAAAATAGTTTGTAGGTAACATAAGAAGCTGCAGACTTAATAAAACAATATTCGACCTTCATCTCTTTGTTTAGCAGAGAGACAGATGGTGCCACCTTCCCCATACAATTTTAAAAAGTAAACATTTTAATAAATTATGCACACTTGTTAGCTTCTCTCTTAAAATAATTTTTAAAATGTCACAGAATCATTCCACATGGAATTGTGTAACATAGCATTCAATTCCTCACCTAGTCACTATTTTTACTGTGGCTAACGGCTTTGATTTTAAATACATCTCCATCTGAAGGTAGTTCAGATACTTCTGTAATTGATAATTTTTCTACAAAGTTAACCAACTTACATAGCAAATACAGATATTTTTCTTGTCTTCCTAGAATAAAAGTCCTAGAGGCATTAAAACTTAGTAAGAAATGTGAATATTTGATGATAATTTTTATTTAAAAGATCATGATTTATTTGAAGGGTAAATTGAATTTTAAAATAGAAGTATGCCTGTATGACATTCTCAAAGGACTTGAATTTCTTTAAATTTCAAGAAACTTAGTCGTGCTCTATTCATTTCTTAGGAATTATAGTACTGATTTTCCAGAGGTCTCAAAGTGAATTTTTTTTATGGGCTCTAAAATATCTGAACTCAGTGTGTTTCAGGGGAGAACAAAGAATATATCTTGTGGCTCTCTGAAGAAATCACAAGATTGATTTTGTAGAAGTTTTGGTCCTAAATGGCTGTTGTATTTATTAAGAAACTTCATGAAGTTTTTAGCATGGAAGATCAAAGTAATTACTTAGCTCTTCCAAAATGAAGAAGGGAAAGTTCCAAAGCATGCTAGTTGAAATAGCAGGAAGTCTTCGTCAAAACACATGAGACAAATGAGATTCTTAAGACCACCTTTCAGGGTCAGATTCCAATTTTGCATAGTGTTTGCTTGGATTTATTCCATGTTCTCAATTATTATTATGTGTATTTTTTTAGTGTTATTATAAAGAGATTCTTAAAAAAAGAAGAGGAAATTGAAAAGTGGAAAACAAATCCCTTTTCCTGTCATTCTTCTTGCTTCTCTTCCTCTTCATCAGCTATCGCCTCTGTAACATTGCTTCTTTTCCCCTGATCTTTTTCAGTGTGAGACGGTGTATATTCTTCCAAATAGCTTCTTGAAAGTAGTCCACAGGGGAGCATTTTAACCGATTCAAGTTGTGAGGCAGATTGTGTGAATTGCTCAGTGTGTGTATTTAGGATCACTGTAAAAGTAAATCCCATTCTGCAGCTGTTTTATTTGCTATTGAGCAGTGTGACACCAATAGCTGTTTAGGCAAAGCAAGTCAGTGAAAAAAAAAAAAAAAAAAAGAAAGAAGAACTTCTAATATTGAGGATATTGTCATTATTTGAAGAAATAGCTTGGAATCAAGAGTCACTTATGTTGGAGGGGACCGTCATCTAGTTGGATCCTCCCTGCCATGGGCAGAGTCGCTGGCCACCAGATCAGGCTGCCCAAGGCTCCAGTTCTTTTCCCAGTCTGAATTCATATCTGGGATTGCCTTGACACAAGTGCAACACCTTGCACTTGGCCTTGTTACATCTCATTATATTCTTGTATGCCCAGTTTTGGAGGTGTCCAGGTCAAATATATTACTTACTGATTTATTTTCCAGCCCATTTCCTCATGTTTCCAGCTTTAGTTAGAGGATCTGTAGCCAAATTGTAATTCCTTGGACTACATGTCCATTGCATTTTTTTCGGAGACCGAAGGTTTGTAAAATATTTTAGAGCACAAAGAGATGAAGCCTTATCTTAAGCAAAATGAAGAGAGACCTTAAGAGAGAACTCACTTCATAGTGAGCACCCTTATCCCCCAGATCATGAGATCTGCCCCTCCTCATTCTCAACCTATATTTCTCTGTTAAGTTCTTGAAAGACCTTCAGTGATGGAAATACTATAAATTCTACAAGCAGCCTTTTCCATCTGTACTTACTTAGCCTTCTCTGGTAGAAAGTGTTCTCCTAATGTTCTAGTAAAATCTGATGTGCTCCAGTTTAAACCCATTATTTCATTCACTTTTTAGGTCCATCATTTTCCCTCTTATCCTCAGTGGGATGGGAAAGTAGCTTTCAGTAATTTTTACATATTTGGCTGCAGAGTCTATGTTCATCGTTCCCCAAATGATGCAGACAAGATTTTTTTTCTCATAGACTTGAATACTCCTTATCAGTTGCAATACAGAAGAGGAACATCCAAAACTGGACGTGCTGTTCCAGCTGCGGGGTTACCAATATAAGTGGATTGAAAAGATTGTTCCACAGTTCTTGCATATTGCATACTAGATAATATATCATCAGAAAAGGTTTCAACATTTTTTACAACAAAATGCAGTTGACTCATATTCAGCTCTTTTTGACACCACATTCTTTTCTTTCTCATGAGTCATCTGCTCTATTGTAATCGTGAAGTTAATTGTTTCACCCACACAAAATACTTTTACTTGCCAAACTGAGTTGCACCCTACTTTTTTAGACTAGCCTATCTGTCAGAATTATTTTGAACTCTAATCCTGTTCTTCCAGTGATTGCAACTACTCCCAGCTTTGTGTCATCTGAAAGACTTGATAAGTTTTTCCTGTCCTCCATCATTCAAAAAATACTGAATGATTCTAGAAGCAGAAAAAATCATATGAGCCACTTCATCCATCCATCCATTTTGACAGTAAGCCATTGATAACTTTTCTGAATACAATTTTCAACATCATCTACATGCCTTACATTAGTTTTTTAGTAATTCTTTTATCTCACTTTTAAACTATGCTCCTGTTTGACACATATCATTGTTATCCATCATAGGATGCTTAAAGTGATTATGGTTTTGTTCTGAATATGTTTCTGGGTTGAAGTAGAGCAGGTTGAATGTTCAATGAGTTAATGTTCTGTGTGCTGTATGCCTATTAGTACTTAGTGAGTGGAATTGTTTTTTAAAAACAGAAACTTTATCTTTGATTCAGCCTCTACTAAATAATTTATGACTAAGACAGTAGATAGGAGTATTGAAATTACAGATTGTGTTAGTATTTTCATTGAGAAAAAATCCCAAGTTTTATTCTTTAAAAATTACATGCTGGAATTCTGATGTAGATACTTTTTAAGGTATTTTAATTTTTCTTTTATCTTTCATACCATAGACAAGGGGTGTAGAGTTTTATACATCAAATGACAAATTAAAATACAAGCCTAGGAAAAAATGATCACTTTATTGAAATAGTTAATTTGAGTTAACTTGAGTTTTAGAGTAAAATAAAGAACAGTAAATGTGGCATCTTTTTTTTAAGTCCTTTGTAGGCCTGGTTTTACTATGTAAATCACGGTGTTGGTTTTTTAAAACATAAAATAAAAACAGGAAAACTGTCTGCCTAAAAATAATAATGGAAAAGAACTTCTAATAGGCTTAATACAAAACTAATTGAAACAATGTTTCAGGTCTACTAAGGAAAAAAGTTAATGTAGACCAAACTCTGATAGCCTGTGTTACCACACTCATTTAAAACAGTGAAGTTAATTGCAGGGTGGATTATTATTATTATTCCTAATTTCTTAATTCAATGGAAAAATGATTGATTTCTGTGAGGGATAGGAAAGAAACCAAAGTGTTTATCAAGAAAAAAGATTCTCAGTTTTGACTGCAATTTCCTTGCCTTTTTTAATTAAATCAAAGTAAAAAAGCACTAATACACTGTTTTAAAAAACCTGAATTTCTTCTTTGTCCTTGGAACTAACAGACAACTTAACTGGACCTTTAGTGTTTTTATACCAAAATTTACCAATGTACATAAAATTACTGCAAAACTGAATTTGTATCTGTAGCTGATGGTCTTCTTCCCCTGTCCTTATTCTAGCTATAATTAAAACAGCTCTTCCCAACATGGACAGAGAAGCCAAAGAAGAATACTTTGTGGTTATCCAAGCAAAGGACATGGGAGGACATATGGGTGGACTTTCTGGAACTACAACAGTGACAATTACACTCACTGATGTTAATGACAATCCTCCTAAGTTTGCACAGAGTAAGTGCCATTATGTACATATATTCTCTAAGAATGCTATATAGCACTTTTCATAATTGTTTTTAATCTAGATTTTTTTAATCATCACGTTGCCCGGGTTTGTAATGTAATTTAAAAATATGCAGCTGGTACCAGAGAAAGATTAATAGTCCTTTATCTGATTAATAGCTTTAGGAAGGAGGGGATTATGCCCGTTACAATGTCTTCTGTTTTCCTTGTTATCTCTTATATATACATACAAAAGGGCTCGGGTTGTTTTTTTTTCCACTTTTTTTATTATGGTGTTTTCTCCTTTCAGTGCAGTTTTAGTTGCTTTTATATGCGCTTCCATCTCATGCAGACCAAGGATACTACCAGTAAAAGACATATGTAACTGATAAAAAGAAAGAAAGATTTGACTAATTAGGTAACAGTGAAGAAAACAAAATAAGTCTGAGTCTAGATAATTGTTGATGTCTAATTCAAAATCCATATTTACTGCTGTGGTTCCAATAGATATCTTGCTGGGCTAGGTTAAAATGATTTGGCATCCTGCTGAGATTCTCAACAAGCTTTGTAGTGTATTTCAAAGATGAAGACAAACAGAAAGAAAGAAAAGGAAAGAGCATAATAACTGGTTCGATTTTGTTTGGAACAGGTACAATCTAATACGCTATCAGAAACTTACCTTGTTATCCAGTTTGTTCTGAAAAAACTTGTATAATATTAAGAGTCTGTATTGGGTTAGGAGAGTGTTCACATCTCGACTTCATCTAATTTTTACTTTTCTAGAAGCATATTTTTCTAACAAGGTACTTATGCACCATATGTAAAATTATTCCTTTTCCATAAGTACATCAATTAAAGTCCACTTTCGTGGTGTTCTGAAGACACAAGGAGAGAAATGGGCTTGACTCATTATTCAGCATGTGATAAATGTGAACCCCATAAAAAAGCACATAAAAATATATACGGAGAAGGATTATAAAATAAATAAGCAGAGGTAAAAGCTATTTGCAAAGAAAGAAAGAAAAAAAAATTAACTCATTGAAGTGTTTTTTTAACAGATAAAAACTCTATGCACAGTAAATGCTTTTCTCATCATAAAAGATGAATGCATGTATTTTTTATTCTGAGAATGCATGGCTTGCACTTGTGGAGTAGTGTTTTTCAACACATGATGACAAGTCCCCTAATAATATACACATCTGAAGATGAGAATCCCGGTTGAACCATATCACCAGAAAGCAGAGGGACACTTCTTTTACACCTGAAATGTACAGTAGCTCTACCTGTGACTGTGGATCTACTTCTACCACCTTGCATGACTTTTGTATTTGTATCAGCATCTTCTGTGTCAAAAAGCCTTTGCCAGCCAGTTTGAAAAAAGCTGGTCAGAAAGTCAGCAACAGAAGTGATGCTAATTGGTACATTTGCTGAAGGGCTCAGCAGGAAGCACAGAATTGAATGCATATGGAGATGAAACTGTATTTTCCCTTTGCAGTTTACTCATATCTGTTCTCCTATAGTTTGCATACAGTGACATGTTGACTGGGTAGGATGAGGAAAGCTGCATCACAAATCCCTGAAATATATTTTCTGCATGAAAAATGTAGATTAGCTTTCCTTCAACAAAGAGTGAATTGCTGTCTTCAAAGCTGTTATAGCAAGTGGGTTGCAGCATAGAATTCAAACTGCCATCTAGGAATAACAACTTTGTTGTAACGCTAATGATTGTACAACTTCATTAGAAAAAGAAAATTGTGTGTACTATAGCTTTATAATATGTATATAATGCATTTAATGAGAGCATGCTGTAGTAAATACTATAACTAGATCCTATTACAAATTCTGCCTTTTAAAACTGAGTATTCCAAGCATGCTGCCAAACGTTACAGATTAGTCATGACTCTAACCTTACAGAAGAGCTGATCAAGTCTGTAACATTTTTTATACTGTTAAAGCACAGTTTGCATTTGCCTGGAAAGGAAAATAAGAAAGGATCAAACTTAAAATAGAGTCTAACCAGAATGAAATATAAATTCATAAGATGTAATACATGCTGCTTTCACAATAAATTGTAATGAACTCAGAAAGCAGTGTGTTTTATAGGTTTATTGTTTCCAGGCAGGACAGAAATGTATATTTATAGTTAGATTTCAAAGAGTGTTAGCCTCCTGGGTTTTAGAAATGAAAAAGATGAACTTTCACTACTTCTATGATCTCTCTAAAATCACTTTAGAGGCATTTTAAAAGTCGTTGCAGTTTTTAACCTGGCAGTTTACCATAGATTATACTGAGAAGAACTGTGCACTGCTGTGAAAATCAAAGCTTTTCAGAGATGCATAATGTTTATTTTTGGTCAGCTCTGAACTATGATATCTTGACAGGACATTTCATAATACTTGAGAATAATTTATATAAAAGAGTCACCTGCATCATCATCATAATAATATTTTTACAGTACTTTGTAAGCTGTATTAATAAATCTGAGAAAAAATATATCAACCGAAAATGCAGCCACCTGTCTGGAGACTTAATCCACAAATCATGGGTAGCAGCATAAATTACAATACATAATTTCATCTATGGAGGTGCTTTCTGTACTAGGGCTGCTTTACCAGCTTCCTGTTGGTGAGCCATTCTGAATGTTCTGGAACAATTTTGATAGTCTCCAAATTATCTCCAGTAATTTAGCCTAGAAACTGAAATGAAAAAGAGATCACGTTAGAAAAGGCTATACATAAACTTTATGTATTGATTTGTGCATTTCTTATGGTTCCTTTCCTACTCTCTACTGTTGCTGCGGTAATCAGCTCACAAATAGTTTCATTGAAAGCATTGGAAAAAATTTGGTTTTAGAAAATTTGCAGTTGCACATTACAGAATTTCGTAGAACTTCTGTGACGAAAAAAGTCCAGCTTCAAAGTGTATTGCTATTGTTCTTAACAGTCTTACCTCCTAAACTTCAGTTCTTTTTTGACTAATTTAGCTACTAAGAATCACTGCAGTTGGTTGGATTGTATATTAACCATCACATCATTAAGGCTAAATTACCAAAATTTTTTTAAAAAAACTCATTTAGTAAAACTTTTTTAATGTAAAACATGCATGTGCCTTTTTAAGTCAGGTGGGTTAAAGAGTGTGGTACGAAGAAATAAAATTGCTGAGGATTTGAATAGCCTTTTCTATCAGACTTTAGTCAAAATCTACAAATAGTAAATGCAATAATGAACAGAATGAGAAGTTATTGTGTCTTTTACAGCACAAAGTTCGTGGGTTTCCTTGAACATTTATTGAGTAATTTTTACTACAGAAGTGAGGTAGAAAGTGATTGAAGCCAAAACCAGATCAAAGTAAAAGTTAAGGGTAAAAAGGTTAATAAAGATCAGAAATTGTAAATAGCATCTTTACGGTATTACTGTGTAAAAAAAACAAATTTTTGTATTTGAGTTCCATCAAAAACATAGCTGCAAGTCTGTAAACACAAAGATAAGTTCAGCAGTACCTGCAGTAGATAGCATATGACACATTTACGGTGTTGAAATTAGCTTAATATTTATGTTCAGTAACAGTGAGCATCCATGCAACAGGAGGCGGAATGCGACTGTAATGAAAAGAACATTCACGTGCAGTAATCTGAGCATTCCTATGAAAGAAACATGTTTTGCTGTTTTCAGTAAATAACTCCTGTAAATATGATTTGTATCATTTGCACATCTCAGGCGTTTGTGTTGGGGAAATATAAACAAATGAAGAGCACACAAGAAATACTGGAATCAGATGTAATGTTTAGTCTTTTCTTCTTATTCTTAAGGTTTGTATCACTTCTCAGTAATGGAAGATGTTGCTCTTGGTGAACCCATAGGAAGGGTGAAAGCAAATGACCTGGATATTGGAGAAAATGCTAAATCATCGTATGATATTATTGAAGGAGATGGAATGGATATATTCGAAATCACTACAGATGCCCAAACTCAGGATGGCGTTATTAGAGTGAGAAAGGTAAATTGTATCTCTTAAATAAAAGTTTATTTGAAGACTGTTGGAACGTGCTGGATTTCTAAGGGTCCTTTAATCTATGAACGAGATGTCAAACCACACTGATAAAAGTAGGGATGTATAAGCAATGTGCATCGGAGCTGCTGTTTAGGTGGCAGCTGGGAAGATTTCCATGGCAGTATTTTCTATTCTGGGCATGACTGAATCTGCTTCGGGCTTCCTGAGTCCAGCCACTACTTCATGTGCTCAAATGATACTGGTTTTCTTCCTTGGTTCTGAAGGGGAAGAGTGTATCAGAGTTTGTTTTGTTGGTGATGTAAATTTTCCTACAATCTTAGATGAATACTCATCAAATGCTTCTGCTTCTCTCACTTACTATATTGCTGGTCAAATACTGCTTAGAGAAAAAAAAGTATCATACCTTATTATGTAAATTGCTCGATGTATAATAGACTCAGTCTTCCAAATTTTATCTTGTTGAACTCTATTTGCTCAAGGAATAGTGATTTCAGTGAACCTTTTCAGTTTTGAAATGAGAACTGCCAAATTTGGGCCCAAGGAAAAACGACATCACTGTTTCCTTTTCTATGCTTTCACAGTCTTAATGTATGTGTGGTGTGGTATTTACGTGTACAGAACCAAAGGGGCATCCAATTATATACATAAATATTGTCGGATTCAGCAAATCTAGAACACAATGTGGCTAGTAAGGTCAGTGATATAGTAATTGCAGGATTGATTTTTATTATTTTCTGTTGAAGGAGAGCAGAGTAGATACTCATGCTGTGTTCTAAGGAAGGATTTGAGTATAACTCATAATGCTGGTATGAAGGTTTTTAAATATGTAGCATAAAGCACAGTAAATGATTCCTTGTTTAAAATAAATAAAAACAAGTGAAAAAGAAAACATGACATCCCAATACAAAAGAGGAATCCAATGAGTACTGTTAATGAATATTTAAGTTTTATCTGTGATTAAAGAGGTCAGACAGAATAGCTGTCAGAAGTTTATGTTTTCTATTTCTCGGTGAGGCGGTTAGCACCCTAGAAAAATAATAATATGGTGTATATCTAAATTTAGATCTGTTTTCCTAAAGAGTAAATGATGATATCCATCCCTGATCTTCCTTATTGTGATTTATCATATGTTGTGGTTTCCTTTCTAAACTAAGGCAATTAGCCTTTTGCCCCAGTTCCCTTGACTTCATTTCATAATACGTCTCTAAGATAATGCTGTTTCATATATTCATTTTGACAGCAATTATCATTTTGGTTCTGTCGCAGTAGGTAGTGTATGTTGGGTATTGTTTACCAGCAGAATTTCTCCAGCATGAATTTGTGGGTTTTACACAATTCAGAGTAAATTTTTGATCTGATAGTCTGATTAAGAATGGCTACATGTATTGAGGTGCTGTCATTTCTATAAAGCATGTGAAATGCAATTGAAGAAATGATATAGGAGCTATGATTGGCAAATTGTGAATATTCTGATTTATAAATCACAATTCATAAGTATTAAAACTTGCTAATTTAAGACCTGCTAAAGAAGCATGGTTTTCTCATGTTTACTAGAGTTTGTGTGAAAGAGCAAATCCCATTAGACCTCGATTCATACCTGAAAAAAATCAACAAAATTCAAAAGTACACATATTTAATGCTTTGACAGAAAGAGATTTGCTATTCCTATTTGTGTTCTTGCTGGTATTTGCATTGCAGATTCAGAGTTTCTATGTCTTTTTCTTTCTATCCCTGGGACATTGTAATGCAAATCTTAATATCTTTCCAGTGCTTGGCAATTTGCATCTTTGAAACTTGAATCATTGTGAGACACAAGAGAATTATACAGTGAATATACTGGTGTGCTTCAAGATACAAACTTGAATCTCCTATAATGAAAAATTCTATAGTTCAGAACTGTTGCAGATTTGGTTTTTATTTGGTATTTCGTTTCTTTAAATCCACCGTGTTTTTATCTTCTCTGTTTTAATATGTGGCTGTAAAATTGTAAAAGCAGTGGTGACATGACAGGTATATTGGTAGAATAAAGTAATCAGTTTTGTATTTCCCCCTCTGAAAAAAAAATATAAGGTATAGAATTAAGTATTGCTACAGTTGGAAGAAATTTCTGAGAGATGTCTACCTCATTTACACCTTTAAACAGAAATGCAGAGTTATCTGAAGTGTAATGATATTGAAGTACATTCTTATATGATTAGCTCTAAGTTTTTCCATCTAATGCCTCTCCTGTCCAACAAATTATAACTGCTAGATATTTACCTTTCTCATGTAGTTCTGGAAATAATTAAATATTTATTCCTCATGGTGATAATATCTTGTATACAGTATTTTCTTATCTCCAACTAACAAAGCACTGATTAAATGCATGATTATTATGGAAGTCACATCATCACCAACAAATTTGCTCTATTTATCTGGTACGTAATTGTAGTGCTATAATTCATGAAAGAGAGTATTGTGATAAGTTTATTGTGAAAAGCAAGAAAACACTCTTGTTTTCTTTGAGGCTGGTTAATAAACATGTATCAATATATGCCTAGAAAATTTACCGTTTGGATTTCTGGGAGTGGGAAGTGGTTGCATAAAAACTCACTGAATGTGCTTAAATGCACATAACTTTCATCCATCAGCATTATATTAATTTGCTCTTTCTCTGTGGCCATTAGTAAAAGACATTTGTCTTTGTCATTCTTAACAGCCCCTGGACTTTGAGACCAAAAAATCCTATACTCTGAAGGTAGAAGCAGCCAACGTTCATATTGATCCTCGCTTCATCAGTGGAGGACCTTTCAAGGATACAGCAACAGTAAAAATTGTAGTAGAGGATGCTGATGAGCCACCAGTCTTTTCATCACCTACATACCTACTGGAAGTGCATGAAAATGCTGCTATTAACTCTGTGATTGGTCAGGTGACAGCCCATGACCCCGATGTGTCTTCCAGTCCTATAAGGTAGTGCAGCTCTAAAGTTCTCATAGAAAAAAACTGCTGGCAGAGTACTAAGTATATTTTTCTATACACTGTATGTATAATGCTGTTCTCCATCTGTTTTTACTCTATAAAATGCTTGTATAGGATTTCTTCACCTTGTGAATTTAGACTGATCAATTTGTATCATTTTCAAAATCACAAAAATATTCCTTTCTACACAAATAATCTTATCAAACAGTAGGAATGCAATGAAATTAAGAAATAAAGGGTAAGAGGTCTGATAGGTTGGATTTTCGATGTATTTATTTTAAATAATCTGCTAGTTTCTACACTAACAATGTCAAGTTCGTTCTATGCAGCTGTAAGACTGTAAAATCATATTCAGTATTTATTTGACTAAACTCTTCCCTGGTTTTGTTAGAGGAAATCAGAAATTATGATGCCCAAATGACTTCTGCACCTTCATTTTTATATTATTTCCCTTTTTTTTCTAATTTGAACAAAATCTATTATTCCAGTTTCATCAGATCTGTGTCTTTTGTCTCATTTCCATGATAACACATCTTGCCCTCCCATTTTGTTAAACAGTGACGAGACTGTTATCAAACCATATTTTATTTCCTATGCATAGTACTGCTAAAAGCATTATGAAAACAAACAGCATAGCATCATATTTATAGTAAAAGTACATTTGGGGGAAAAAAAGGTGTACTAATGTGGTTAATAATTGGTTAGTAATCTTATTGCACCATATGTATTTCAGAAGCATGTGTTGTCATGTGCTCCAGGATCACCTCTTACTGCATATAGACTACGTGCATCTGTCCTGGGAAAGGGACACAGTGAATTCAGCTGAGCTACTTGTAGAGCTGTGCTGTAGTTTAGTAAGGGTGGTAAATTCTGGCTTATTGTGTAATAAGGTTTGAAAGATTATCATCTATTAGCATACAAATCTATTGATTCCAGTAGTATTTATTTCATGTTTCTGTTGTTATTTTATAACCATGGTCTTTTTATCTGCAGTAAATTATCTTGGATAAAGCTTGATCCAAGCGCATAGCAAAAAGCATGAGTAATAATCGTTCCTCCTATACTGTTTCTGCCCTCCTATAAATCACTGCCTTTCAGTGTCTTTCTCTGTGGAGAGATAAGCTTCACAGTGGCAGGTTTTCCCCATTCATATTGGAAGAGATTTCATCTTTGGCAATGGTGGATCATTTTCTTAATTCACAGCAGTCCTTAAAAACCTAGATTCGATATTTTCTGCCTCCCTAACAGCGCAGCCATTTATCTGTCACTAAGTAGCATGTCCTGTCTGCCTGTCATTAACTAACAGTGGTGATTAAACACTGACAGGGTAGCAGTCTTCTGATTTGAATCTCAGTAGGTGCAGCAAAAATAGTTTCTGCTCTTATTTACATTTGTGCAAATAAAGAATAGACCAAACTAAGTCATAACAGCAGTATTAATAGTACAGAAGGACTAAGAATCACTTCAAGTCTTCTGTTAAACCACTTTGGAGTTGTTCCTATAATTGCCATAAACTAACTAAAACTTCTCCATAACTTGTGCTGGTTTTATGGGAATTTGAAAACAGATATTATGTCCCAAGATATTCTTCTCTCCTTTTTAGAGAAATGTACATTTTATGTTTAGCTTATGGATCTGACAATACGCTTCCATTAAAAAGAGTTATAATACAATTAGCATGAAAAGGAAACTGCAAATGTATTATTAGTTTTCCCACATTTATGACTTGGCAGACTTTTTATTTTGTTTTATTTTATTTTGTACCAAATATTTATCAAATTGAAATCAGGAGAGGGTTTTAGCTCTTCGTGGTCTTGTGAACCTGAGTAACTGATGTTACAAAAGTTTCTTTTCGAATGCTGTTTTTGCATTGTGAATACATACTGTTGGGATGAGATGAAGTGCAATATAACAAACTCAAAGACGTTATGCTCACACCTCTGTAACTTCAGAAAATGTACTGTAAGGAAGACTGTGAATGGAAGTTTAAAAAGGCATTGATTCTTGGAGAAAAAATGTGTCCTATCTTAATGGAATTTACATCAAGCCCAAGTCAACTAAATAGCATATAAGTATTTCATGTTTTATTTCATTTATGGAATGTAAGAATTTCATAATAGTTTGTTACCAGAGCTGTGATAGTCATTTCTGCAGCCTTACATAAACTGCAAGAACTAAAAGATTAGGTTTAAGTAATGACATCTTAAAAATAATTATCTCAATTGCTGTCCTTGTCTAATTTTTTTGAATGAAATTTTAGACCTGTAAGTTTAAATGTAATTCTGTAAGATTTTTTTTTTTTGTACTAACTTTACTAGTATCACAGTTTTCACTTGTAATACTTACCTGGGAACTAAGGAGACATTAAAGTGAGGTTAAGATATGTCTTCAAGTATGATTGCCTAAGGTTAGGCACCTGCAGCTTTATTCCTCATTTTCAGAACTGCTGAGGATTGTACAGTTTGTATTAAACTGTTGAGTACTGAATGTGTGAAGTTCACTAGAAAATCAGTTTACTTGAATGTCCAAACATGTGTGTGCCTCGCTTTAGGCACATACACTTCAAATTAGACTTCATATTTTTTATCGTACTTTTTTATGAAACACCTCATTTTTATGAGTAAAACTTGTTCTTCTGATAGTTTAAAAACAGAAAACTTCAGTGCGTAGCAAATCACACCTCCTCGTTAAATGGGTTTTCATTCTTAAGTCCTATCACACCTTACCAGTGTGGTTATGCTATCCTTGCTAATAAACACAATCTTTAAACATTTATACTATAACTTTGAACTAATTTTTGAAAGTGACTTGTATTTAACCAAACACATTGCACAAACATTTAAATGCAACATTCTTTGGCTCTGTTTCAGCTACATAATTTACCTAGAAATTTACATTTGCAAACTCTTACTATCTATCAGAGGCGACTTGTTTTCTTAAAAATCAGTGATGTCAATCTATAAAACAATCAATCCTTCAGCATTTGAAGTGTTCTGTAGGTAAGCAGTGATTCACTGACTGCTTCTGCCCATGCAGCCACTTGATTTGTAATCAAATAATTGGTGTGGTGAATAGTTCACATATCATTAATCTGAAATTTGTTATTAAAATAATATTTTTCATCCTTTTTAAAAATAACCATGAAGTCCACCATTTTTGTGTGCTTAATGCATTACACTTGAAATTATCAGCAATTACTGTGAAATGTCATAGAAACTGTCTAATAAATATGATGGATTATGTAATTAACTCTTGATCAGCACTGTCTTTCGAAGATGTTACCTAGTGAACCTGAGGGCATTTTATGACCTTCATAGTGGTTCCATACAGCTAATCACTCCTTGGGCAATAATTAATTATTTTTTTAGTCTGAGTTTGTCATATTGTCTTATAAATTATTATTCTATTGAGCTTTTCAATCCATTTGGCTATAAAACTGCAAATCTCAGGGGGCTCCATAAAATGTATTGTGATTGTATGGATTCATTAACTTCATTAAGTGGATTACAGGGTTGTATATTTTGCAGGTTTTCCATTGATCGTCATACTGACCTTGAGAGACAGTTCAACATTAATGCAGAAGATGGAAAAATAACTTTGGCAACACCACTCGACAGAGAAACAAATACGTGGCACAATATAACGATTGTAGCTACTGAAACTAGTAAGTATTTGTGTATACTGAAGTTTGGTTGGTTTTATTGCCATTACTTCTAATAGTGTGTGCAGTGGAAACAATTTATAGCAGTAAAAAGTGAAACACTGAATTTTTAAGTACAACTTTTTTTTTTTTTTTTAAGAGAACTTAATTTCTGCTGAAGATCTTCAAAACTGCATTTGTTTCAGTGAATAAAGTAGATAGAGTTTGAAGAGATATATGGTGACATTTGTAGAGGTTTTATAGGGTAAATGAAGAAGAAAACATCACAGTGAGTTATTATAAGACAGAAGAAATAAAGCTTTGCTACTGTAGAAGTAGAGCATAGATTCAACCCAGAGGTTCTTTACCCTGAAAAATATTTTGTTTCAATACAATAAATGATTAAGCACATGGGTAATGGTGAATGACAGTAGCTCTCTTTGGTGCCTATGAATAAATTACACAGCTATAGACAAGAACACACATTATTGAGACTGATCAGTATTCCCAAGCCAAGGCATGAGCCATGAGAGTCACCCTGCCTAGGAATATGGGTCCTACATTCATAATCAAGAAGAGTTTTTGATTAATTCGTGCTGTTGGTAGGATCTGATAAGCCATCATAATTTATTATAAATATTAGCTCTATATTTTATACTATAAATTTTGCAGTCATAGCATAGCAAAAAACAGATCCTGGAAGTAGGTCCGTCATCTGTCTGAAACATAAACTAAGAAAATATTTCTGCTAAAGTATCTATTCAGCAATCAGTATATATATGCATAATTCCCATAAGTACGTGCACACTGGACACATTATTGTAAGAATAGTTGTCTTTAGAGCTTGATGAACTGTGCTGCTAATTCTTGCATATCGAAAACAAGATGATTTTGGTGCTTTCTCTTCACCCAGAGTATCTTTTTTGAGTATATAGTGTTATGATCCAAAACTTTTAGTGCTCAATATCACAGTGCTGTACCTATGAACATATGAATGAATGGGAGAATAAAAGGTGCTTATTTGGCCCATATTGGATGATTACTTTTCCAGTACTTTTCGATGGTACTTGCTTTTAGATACAAGCATGTTAGGAATCTGTGAGGGATAACTGAAATGCATGTATATATGAGAGAGATATGTCTGAATATAAAATAAGCTCTCCATTTATAACCTCTGTAAACTGTGTTCTACCTTAATAATCTGTGCATTTCATTGCTAATAGTGCAATAATACCAACAATGCCCCAGTAATTACTATTAAATCTTGTGTGTAAACACTACCTTGATAAATTTGTGACAATACTGGCAGTAAAGCCAAAGCAAGATAGTGAATCAAATTGCATAAAGAAAGCAAGCTCCAGTTTCCTTAAACTGGTAGTCCAGTCCAACAACTACCAAGTTGATATCAAGCCACTTAATAATTCAGCTAGTTTTAAAGGAGAAAGGTATAAAAATCTCCATACCAGTTTTCTCAAGACTTGAGCAATCTCAGATCGTAGGATTTACCAGTAGCATCAAGAGAAGAATTATTAGTCTGTGATTCCAATCTTTTGAGACATCGAAAGATGTAAAGTGAAGTAATTTTACAGATTATTTCTGAATAATTTTTCAAGAAACTAATCCAATTTACTTCTTTGACCTCCTTTATATGCGTGTACCAGAACAAAGTTAACAGAATTCCACTTTTCTAAGTCAGATCAGAATAAAGTCTGCCTTCTTCAGATTTTAAAAACATAATTGTATTTAAGAATTATTATTGTATTCAAGAAATAAGCCTTTCATTAAACTTTGTTGGAGCCTCAACACCTATCAGTGTTGTAAAATTGCTTCTTTTCAGACTGGCTATGAAAATAATAATGCCAATCCAGTGCTAAGCTTTTGAGTTCCTGCTCATGATTGAGTTGATTGAGTTGGGTTTTTATTGTTGGTTTGGCTTTGTTTTTACATTCCTAATATGATTATCTGACATTTACATAAAACAAGAGCTGAATTTCATGGACTGCTATGTCTGCTTCTTTAAGAGACAATACTATAAATTCCTAATGCAGAAACTAAATGTGTTCATAGAATTGTAAAGCAGGGTAAAATGGTCATTTTCACATTTTTTTACAACACAGTAATAAGCAAGATCTCTGTTATAAAATAGCAGAAATCTGTTAAAGGCAGACACAAGCAGCAAATGAAAATACAAACAGTGTCATCTCTATGCTTTTACTGAGAGTAATATTAATGTACTGCTTATCTCTCCCATAAAAATAAATATATTTCTATCATTCATACAGGAGCATTTTCTTTTCCTAACCAGGCTGCTTTCCAGGTTCAGTTCAGGGCTCACCTCTATTCATACGAACAATGATTGGACCATTTCATTGCCATCACAACTGCTTACCAATCATAAGTAGTGATATTCTTTTTTCATCATGATTGCCAACATGGTGGGAATACATCCTGATTTATCAACACTTTCATAGATAGACACCAAGTATTGCCAAAACTTAAATCACTTTTTTGGAACTTCGTGCTGGTACATTGCCTGCACCTACATTTGTGCCTTAAGTAGAAGAAAGATTTTTGAAGTTTTCTGCTGTCAGCTTTACAAAGTTATTCTTTTGTATCAACCCTCAAGCACTGTCCCGAATTGGAATCTTTCTGGATGTGATTGGTCTGGGTAGACTGAGATTACTTCTGCATTTTCACCTAGCTTGAGGATGGAGAGATTATGATCCAGATAATTTTAAATGTTACTTGATTTTAATCTTTCTGAGTGCCCAGAAGGTAATCTAAACCTTACTTGTCTAGCAAAACTAGGAGCAGAAATTAGGAGCAGAAAGCATGAGCTAATTGGGACTTTTTAGTGTAAGTATTTAGCAGGCAAAAAAAGGGATTTAATTTATTTTCATTTACAAGAACATTTCCTATTCATAGGCAAGCATCTTTCTAGCATTAATTCAAATATATTTGTGCTACTGGTGCCACATGTAGTATTACCTTCATATTCTGAGACCTGTGCAAAGTGGTAGATTTTGGAGGATAGCATTTCCCTGCTTTTACTTTTCCATCATTGGAAGACACCTTCTAGCCTCTGTGAAGTGGTTTCTAGTTGCTTTCATTGTATAGAATCATAGAATCATTTGAGTTTGAAGGGCCTTTAAATGTCATCTAGTTCAACTCCCCTGCAATAAGCAGGGACACCTACAGCTCCGTCAGGTGCTCGAGCCCCATCCAGCCTGACCTTGTGTGTCTGCAGGGATGGGGCATCTATCATCTCTCTGGGCAACCTTTGCCAATGCCTTGTTACCCTCATAATAAAAAATCTTTTCCTTATATCCAGTCTAAAACTCCCCTGTTTTAGTTTGAATCCATTTCCCTTTGTCCTATCACAACAGTCCCTGCTAAAAAGTCTATCCCCTTCTTTCTTATAGCCCTCACTTACATAATCAAAGGCCATTATCAGGTCTCCCAAGAGCTTTCTCTTCTACATGCTGAGTAGCCTCAGCACTTTCAGTCTGTCATTGTAAAGGTATTCCATCCCTTGTGGCCTTCCTCTGGATGTGCTCCAGCAGATCCATGTGTCTCCTGAGGACAACACATCTGGACACAGTACTCCCGGTGAGGTCTCACTGGCTGAAAGCAGAGTGCAGGAGCTGCTTCCTTGACCTACTGGCCATACTTTTTTTGTGCACTTGACCCCACTGATGATATCATTGATGACGATATTAAAGGGCCAAAGTACTCACCCCTGAGGGGCACCACTCATCACTGATCTTCATATTTAATGTAAGTTAATGCTTACATTCTTCATTATATATTTAAATTAATATTTACTTCTTTGTAGTTTGAATTTTTTCCTCTCTGGCCATGTAGTGACACCATTATATTGATGTATTATATCACAAGGATTGGTAAGAAAAGGGAATGTTAAAAAAACCTTGACCTCTTTGAAAAATCACTCTGAAATACAGCTTAGAATTCACTGAAGAAATTCCGAGATTAATGCTTATTGCAAGAGAGATATCAAAAATTATTCAATCTTTGAATTGATTCTTAACTTTTCTTTCTACATTGGCTTGCGGCCAAGTTTACTCTGCTGAACGAGTCTAGGGTGTATCTAGGAGATCACAGCATATATGAAACAGGCTCATTGGCAAAATGACTCTTCCTTGGAACATAGCTTTTGGTCTGTGGATATGAGAGGTGAACTTTGTTTTCTGTCACTGATTGGATTTTAAATACTGAATTAATGACATTTTTTGTTGTTGTTATATGGTTAGGACTTATATGACTGAAAGCTAAGGAGCTTAAAGTTGTTTGCCACAGTTGTGAGGTTTTCTCGGCTGGATGCTTGAGAGAATGATGAATGGATATAGCCTTGCTTTGTAAGTCAGGGCTGAATCTGCTTCTCTTACATTTGGGTCCTCTGGAGCTAAGGTCCGAACAGAGAACAAATCTATGGGCATACACTAGTATTCTCTGAGAGTCTGAATTGCAGTGCAGTAAGTATGAATGATTAACTTATAGGCATTTCCTTTGTTGTCTTTTTTTTAAATGTATATATATCCACAAAGGCATATCACATTTTTGTTATTTGGTACTTTTTTGAAATGGAATTTCTGACATTCAGGAAAGTCTAGAAAAGTGAGGATCCATATAGGCATGTGTAATCCTATTCATCTGAACACATAAATACAGTTTTTAGTTTGTATAAGGTACAATTATAGCTGTAACTACTGTTCACATTGACATGCTTGTGTTGCTTGCATTAACTGGTTGGCAATTTTGCTGGGCAGCGAAGCAGAGCAGAGTTCAAGCTGAGCTAACCTCCTCAGTATTCTCTCAGGTTCTTATATAGGTTTTGCAGTACTTATGGAGTTATGTGTTGTCAATGGTTCTCAGCTACTACAGGAAAATCAAATAGACATGATTTATTTATTAGAACATTTTTGCTACAGTTTGCACAGATTCTGAAGAGTTCATTCAGATCATTCAAGCTATCAAATTGTCATACATACACAAAGCATATGGTA